CGAGTGGCGGCCCCTGAGCGAGGGCTGCCGCGCCGAGCTGGCGGAGATCATCGTGTACGCGAGGGTGCTGGCGCTGCACCAGGAGGTGCACGGCCTCTACAACTACCTGCCCTGGCAGCACGAGGCGGGCGACGCGGGGCTCTTCTACTCCGCCGAGATCGAGATGCTGTGCGACCAGGCGTGGGGCAGCATGCTCGAGGTCCCCGCCGGCTCCAGGCTCAACCTCACCGGCCTGGGCTACTTCTCGTGTCATTCTCACACCGTGGTCCAGGACTACTCCTATTTCTTCTTCCTCAGGTGAGCCCGGCCCCTCGCACCCACCACCTTCTCTGCCCTTCTGCCTGACCGCCCGAGGTCGCCGTTATCTGCAGCCAGGTCAGGACTCCCACAGAATCCTGTCCGTGCCATATGAGAGCATGCCTTGGGGTCCTCCCCTCACTCTTTATCCGACGCCTCTACAAAGACACCAGGTGTCTCTGGCTAAGGGTGGTGAAAAAGTAGGAATGATTTCTGTGCTTCATGCAAAGAAGATTGTTTCAGGCAAATGACCAAGGTGGTTTTCAATGCTTCATTTGAGTCAACTTTTTTTTTTTTTTTAACTGGATTCAGTGGGAACAGCTTGGGTTGGTGAGAAAGAAAAAGAAAAACCTTTGAAATCAGACTGATGTTGGGATTCTGGTTCTGCTCCTTCTGATTTTGCGCAAGTTACTGACCTCAAGAACCTCAATATCTTCACCTCAGTAATGTGAAAAGCAAGGTTGATTGAGACTAAAACACGGTAACTCATGGAAACACCTGATGCAGGTTAGATGCAGGAATAGTCACACTTTCTTCTCCCCACCTGCTTGAATGTCAGGATATGCATGGTGTGGAATACAGACCAGCTGTGCTCCTGTTTCACTCATATTTGTTGGTATCAGTCTCACATCAGCTGCCAACAGACCTCAATGCCAAGCCATTCAAAACAGCCAAGGTTTAGAGGAGCGGGCTTCTGAGGGTAAGGCCCTGAGTCACAGTGCTTCGAAGGGGATAGAGGTGAGGACAGGAGGCCTCTCTGCTTGGAGACTCCTGGGATCTTGTGCCATTCCCTGAAAGTTGGCCTGTGGTCAGGATGGAGTGCATGTGCATAAGAATTCAGTCAGTGGGTTCCACTAAAGTCTGAAACAGAGAGCAACAGGTGGAACCCCAAATGCATTGGTTGTTTCCGATTGAAATAGGAGAGTGATACAGAGCAACTGAGAGAAACATCAAAATGGGATCTAACATCTATACCCAGAGAGTGAATTAACCAAAGTTGTGATTTGTCTTGGTTCCAGTCTGCCCAGCGTGTGAAGGAGCGGTAAGGATATTTGAATGACTGTGACCTGGGTCTGCAGATTCACTTTGAGCTTTTGAGATTTCCCATTTCTCTGAGATGGAAAACAGTTAAGTTCCACAGAGGACTTCCATAAGCCCATGGCAACACATGTTTTCCATATTGGAGCCAAAATATCTAAGTTTAGAATACATGGCGTGCTTTGTGTTGGCTTGAGTGGTTTAGTCAGATTCAGTTGAATTTTTTTTCATTGCTGAAGAAGTGTTGTTTCTAAATAAAGCCAGCAAGGACTAAGACTATACCTTTCTTATACAGGGAAACTTAACTCAGATTTTTCATATTTCTATTTAGGAAAAACATTGAGAACCCAGCTATAAAACTATACAACAACAAAACTTTATTTTCCAAAGAAAAAAGAGCCGGAGTACTTGAGTAGACATTGTTCTGGCTCCCCCCCCCCCCC